GAGTTTGCAACGCTTACTAGTGCTTGATATATACAACATGAAGTTGAAAGGGTTGATGGTATGATGTTCTCCAACATAATGGGTGGCTAAAGTCTTTGACTCTAATTATCGTCACCACGAGGGTTCATGATCGGTCGATAGCGCCACACCACAAGCCGAAGCCCAAGCAACAATTTTGCATAACTGGACTAGTTCCGTCAGGAAAGTATATATACATGTAGGTTGCAAGCGCAGATGTTACGAAGTGCGCTACAAAAGCAGGATTTTGTTTGAACAAATTTTATGAACAGCGCAATTTGAATCAAAGCTCAAGCTAAGGAGTACAAGAAACCCTCGTTACGACGGTGACGTCGTCTTTGACGGATTTGATCCGCGCCGCGTACGCGGGTGACAGTATGTGTGTAGCGCTGCTACAGGGAGCAAGGAGTTCGGAAACTCGGACAAGAAATGTCGGCGCGTTTTCGCGCACGGATACGCGATATTCGTTGAATAACGGAATGCTGTATTATAGCACCTATTCGACGGATACGCCACGAATTGTGGTTCCTTACGGTGTGGATTTAAAATACCGTATCCTCTTTGAGGCCCACGTCATTTCGATCGTGAGCTGACGAACGGCTCGGTGCGTTGCCACTACTGGTGGCCCAAACTGTACAAGTGGATGAGCACATATGTGCGCACGTGTGAGACGTGTCTGAGGGTGAAACCCTCTTCGAATGCGGTGGCGCCGCTGGCCAGTTTACCGGACCCTCCAGGTGTTGGCAATCTATGAGTATGGGCTTTGTGTTTGGCCTGCCGAAGGACTCGGCGGGCATACGGGTGTGGTGGTCTATGCTGGCCGTTTGAGCACGATGTCTCATATTGCGCCAGTGCTGGACACCATCGACGGTGTGGGTACAGCGACACTGTTTGTCGATTAAGTCTTACGACAACATGGACTCCCGGTGTCAATTGTCTCTGATAGAGTTCAGGCTTCACTGGGGAGTTTTGATCTGCAACACGAGTGTGCTGGGCGCCAAGTATACTACATCAACAGCGGGCCATCCGCAGACCGATGGTCAAAATGAGCGCGTAAATTGCGTCGTTGAAAGCGTTTATTGCATCGTCTACGCTTAGACGCTGAAGCGCCAATTGCCACTCGTAGAGTTTGCTCTGAACAATGCAATGCATTCATCTACCGGCTACACGCCGTTTTACGCGAACAAGCTTGCTAATCCTCGCGTCCCGCTGGCGCCGCCATCCCTGTGCCTGTGACACGAAAAACACCGAGCCTAGCTGGTTTCGTGCGCGTCCACGGATAGAGCCCTTCTTCGTCTTCTGCACGCGGTGCAACTCCGGACAGTACGTCCGCGGCTTCAAGGGAAGCACATCTCAAGCCCACGGCAACTAGGCCGCACATCGCACCAACCATGGGAGACAGATTTTCGCATCGAGGATTTGGAGGAAGTCGACACGAGTCGAATACTCCTTTTCCAGGATGGAAGTAAGAGGAGGGTGAGGTGCGCCAACGGCGCGACGTGAGCCCAGCTCAAACCTTGCGGTCACCATGTCCATTCCCCGACCTCTCGGCTTCCGAGGGGAAGTGGTATTATTACCGATCGCCTCGACGAGGCACAGGAGCAGCAATTGAAGGCTACTCACAGGGCAGTACTCCTGCGATCGGATTCACGTTTAGTCTGAGACCCTCGTGTGGAGTACGACTTCCGCTCGGCATATCCCGCTACTGAAGCGAAATATGCAATCACTCGATCGTTAGGCGTCTACGTAGTCGAGCCCCCGGCCACTACACAAGCTGAGCTCTGTGCACTCGCTTTTTAGTACCACAAGAGGTCCCGATGGATCGAAACTGCGCTCAAATTCGAGCTCAAAAAGGAGGCGCTCCTGTTCCCGCAATGCAAACCATCCCTATGGTGCTCGCCCCTGACAAAACAGCAGCAGATCACTGTCCGTAAAGAAGGCGCTGACTTCCTGTCGACCAGATTGGGTGTCCAACGACACGTTCGTGAATCGATGGCTGAAATTCAAGACATGCGTAAAGAATGCAGATGGAAGCAGCAGAAGAAGTGTGAAAAATTTGGGACCGGAGACCTGGTTTTATTAAATGCTAGAAACTTCCTGCACATGCCGTATCTGCTGTTTGTAAGACAAAGCTCCGTCCACGGTTTATTGGACTGTTTGAGGTCGTGGCACCAGCTAGCCGTTTGGCTATTCCTCCTCCACCAAGTCCTGGTCCATGGGGCTCATTGAGCAGAGAATGCGCGAAGATGGTCCTTGGGATCTTTGACATGCGAGACTCGTACGAGGTGACCGTTAAATGTGAATTGTGGGTATTCATTATTTTGATGGGGGAGAGTATAACGGGGTTACACGTATCCTAGTATAAAAGGGTGGGTCACACAAGATGGTGTAGGTGTGGATTACCGAAGTCGGTGTGATCACACAATGGTGTGGCTACACCATAACAAGAAGCCATTACGTGGCGGGACTGCCAGTAGTTATGCATACTAATCAGGTTTGATTATCAAATGAGAAAAACTTATGACTTAGATATGGGCGGCTTTGCCGCAAATAAAACAGATAAATATGGTTTCAATACTAAACGGTAACGTGCATTTGCCTTCTGTTTAGGTTTTGGGTATCTTGGAGGTAGCGGATTGCGATCCGCTGCACTCATACTGGTTCTAGTATAGAACGTAAGGTCGGTGACTCGAGTAAGCTTCCTCTAAGAAAAGAGATCCGGCAGCTTCGCAGCAATCGCGAACAACATACCGCGACCGACGAATGATTTACTTACTTCACCTTATTGATTTGGATAGCATAATTGACACAATAATTAAGCTTATACAGCGACAGTGCATTGGTCCTCGTTTGCCCTGCCATTTTGTCTCCATGTCAGAGCATATCCTCGATAACTACGTCATCTCTCGATCTTCTGACAATGAAAAGCATCATCTCGAATCTTTTTGTACGTAGTTTGGGTACCGCTGAAGCATCGTTGCACTAAGATTTATTCAGAAGACAAATTTAGGTGACCTCCATCGACTCTTATGACTGAGAAGATGGTGTAGGGTATACTTTTTAAGACGCGGGCCTTCAGACGTCAAAAATTCTGATATATTTTTTGACAGCACTTGGCGACCAAAGCATGTACAGAAATGACACGGCGAATGGCGACGACTGCGGTCACGTGTCGTAACGGGACTTTTTCGTCTCTCTATATTTAAGGCTACAAGCTTTGCTGCACATATACAAGGTCGAAACCCTGAATATCTATTTAAAGATTGACGTATTTAGAGAGGCCTTGCGAAACACATGTCAATAATTTTATGCCAGGAAATTGATTATAAAATTCGAAAAATATTACTTTGCTGTGGTTGGCTGGCTGATATGTATGGTAAACACATCTCATCTTCTTGCAATGCCGCTCCCACTCCCGACGTCCGCTCTAGACCGCCTTGACGCGCTCGCTGAAAAGTATGACACACCATTGCAGCTTTACGACGAGCAGATGATTCGCTTGAATGCGCGGCGCTTGTTGTCCGCCTTTCGCGCACACTTTCCAGATTTCCAGCAGTACTACGCTGTTAAGGCACTACCCAACCCAGCTATCCTTAAAATTCTGTACCAAGAGGGATGTGGTATGGATTGTAGCTCTTCGGCAGAACTGCATATTGTTAAAAAAATTGGCGTTCCAAGCGAGCAGGTCATCTTCACCTCTAATTTCACCGCGCAGAAGGACCTTGCGATAGCTTTTGACCAGGGCGTTATTATAAACTTAGACGACCTATCACTTGTGGATAGTCTTGTCGATGTCCGCAACAAGTGCCCCGATCTTATCAGTTTTCGGCTTAATCCAGGCCTTGGTCGTACCGACTCGGAGACAAAATCGAATGTACTGGGCGGCCCCGATGCCAAGTTTGGCGTTCCTCCTTTCCAGATTATTGAGGCCTACCGTAAGGCACAGCAGGCTGGAGCTAAGCGCTTCGGTATACATATGATGACTGGATCGTGCGTTATGAATCAAGAGTACTGGCGTGAGACGGTTACAGTGCTTTTTAACACCATTGTGCAGCTAAAGAAGGAGCTTAACATCGAATTTGAGTTTATGAACATTGGCGGCGGTCTTGGGATTCCTTACCGCGAGAGTGAGGAACCTGCGAATGTCGAGGCGATTGCCAAGATGTTGCGCGATGTGTTTGATGAGGCGATGAAAGAGCATGGGCTCAAGATATTACCGCGCCTTTGCATGGAAAATGGACGCTTTATGACTGGACCATTTGGCTGGCTGATTACGCGATGTGAAGCCATTAAGGAAACGTATGGATGCTACTACGGTGTTGACGCCTGCATGGCGCATTTGATGAGACCCGGCATGTACGGTGCCTATCATCACATTTCTATTCCGGCGCGAAAAAATGATGATCTATATCCGTCAAATGTAGTTGGCACACTGTGCGAGAATAACGACTGGTTTGCGAAAGATCGCCCCTTGCCCAAAGCGCACGTTGGCGATTTGTTTGTCATTCACGATACCGGTGCTCACTCACACTCGATGGGTTTTCAGTACAATGGGAAACTACGCGCTCCAGAGGTTCTTCTGCGAGTGGATGGTCGTGAGTCACTCATGTAATCTCTCAGATTATTTCTTTTGATTTTTTGTTTCCTATTTGACACTTGTTTTTGTTGGTAATGTATGTGCAGTCGCGAGCGAGAGACATATGAATCCCTATTTGGCAACTGTGTGATGCCTTCGGATTTGTGACTAGGAGGGCAAAAATACGAGGTTCATAGAGGCTTGTTTCAATTTTGAGCAAGTAACAAACATTTTAAATATGCACATCGACTTATTATCATCGTTTGACTTTATTGCGTGCTAATGCCACATGCCACGCCCTTTTCTTCACTTTGCTGACCTGCAAAGTTATTAAAAATTTGTTCAAGTGTCGTCTGAGAAACGGCATACTCGCGGATTCCCACTTGCTGCTTGTTGCTTTCAATGCGTTTAAAGACACTTGCCAGACGTGGTGCTTGCCCTGTGAGCTTATAACGACAGTGATCGTTTTGCCGTTCAAGAAGCATCACACCACTGTTGGCGTCACTTGCAAAACTTTGACGCAAGAAAGAATCCACCGTCAAGAACTGCTCTTCAGCAGCCCACCACGCACAGAGCATACCCATACGTAAGGTGCCATCGCGCTCGAGCGCCGCGGCCAACGTATATCCCGTTGCGTGGCTCATTGTAATTTTGTCTGCCCAAGATGCTTCACCCAATGCTTCACACTTGGCTTGCAGCTCTGCCCATGGAAATGTCGTCGTCATGGCACTGCCACTAAAAACGGAAGCTATGCGAGTCTGGATGTCGTGCATGGGTGTGCCAGTAAGTTTCAGCTCAAGCATTAAACCGTCTCCAAAACGGTGCTTCAGGTGCTGTACACTGCCGAGGCAACGTAAACGACCACCTACCATAATACCAACACGTGTGCAAAGCGCTTCGCACTCCTCCATGCTGTGAGTAGTTAAAATGATTGTCGATTCTTTGCGCTGAGTGGAAATGGAAGCGATGACATTCCACATAAAACGACGCGACACTGGGTCCATGCCTGTCGAGGGCTCGTCCAGAAAAATGATGGGAGGTGAGCCAATAAGTGCAATAGCAACTGAGAGCTTGCGTTTATTGCCCCCACTCAGTGAGCCTGCAAGCTTATTTTCAAAGCTGTCTAAGTTCATTTGATGCATAAGCATCTTGACGACGCTGGTCAAATCTGATTTTTTTACGCCCTTAATACGAGCAAACAGCTCAAGGTGCTCTCTGACTGTCATAAGCTCAAAGAGAGCGTCGAATTGCGGGCAATAGCCGATTAGTCGACGGACTTTTAGCTGCTCGCTCAATATGTCATAGCCACCGAGTGTTCCGTGACCTGATGTCGGAAGGATATCACCAGTCATCATCTTCATTGTAGTTGTTTTTCCTGCGCCATTTATTCCCAAATAGCCAAAACATTCGCCCTTAGGAAGACCAAAGGATAGATTTCGGACAGCCACTTTGTTGCCCTTATAAACTTTACGAATCCGGTGTAGTATAACAGCGTCGTTGTCGGCTCCACCGCATCGTACCCGTTCAGCTTCACGCAACACATCTTCGTCCTCCTCATACGATGCATCTTTTAAATCCGAGTCTTTGAAGACTACTGCTTTGATTTTCGGAAAGCTGAGCAAAAAATCAATTCCGACGGCGATTGTGAAAAAAATGATCGCGTCCAATGCCAAGTAAAGAAGCTCCCAACCCATAATATCCATTGTAAGTGGGCTTATCTTGTCCTCTTTTCTACCAAAAGCAAATTGAATCTCGTGTAAGCACTGGTTTAGCAGTGCACTTCCTAAATTAAAAAGTGGACTTAAACGCCAGAAGAACTTTAACACAGAGTTCGCGTCTTGACTACTCTCACTGACGACGTCCAGAATGAAAGAAACCACCATAAGGACGACGCCCAGCAGAAAATTGGTCATGATGGTGTAAGTCTGAGCAGACGCATGATCCTTGAAGAGATATGAGAGACAGTATGTAAATGGGCAAATGGCTAGTCCAAAGAGAAAAAAGAGAAACACAATGGCTGGAAATGTCTCGCCTGAACAACTTACACAGTTGTTGCCAGTGAATGCTGAAATGTCGAAGATCTGGATTAGCACAAGTGCCGCGATGAACGGAATTATGTACGTAATTAAATCCCAGATATAGTTAGCCAACCAGAAGGCTGGTAGACTTACACCTGAAACAAGCTGTTGATGCTTTGAATTGTGGTTAGCTTGTTTTTCATTAACAAGAAATCCAACGATGGAGGCTGGAAAGAAAGCAAAGGCAATTACAATAAAGATGCATGCAGTAAACGCCAGAAACGATCCGAAGAGTGCTTGCGTCGCTGCTGTCATGGGCAGTGGATATGTGTTCGCTTTAAGTGACACGTCCGATTTACTTCCAGCCATAAAACGATAAAGGGCCTGATCAATTAGAGTTTTGAAAATTACTGCTCCATGAGCTGCAGTCGTATTTACAAATAGATGGTACCCAAAAATATGCTCAGATCCTGAGGCATGGATCAGATAACCACCGTATTGACCTTTTGCAGGCTTATGCGTGACTGTAACCATGTCTTCGTCTGTCTTTCCAAAAGCACGCTGATATATTTTTTCTCCCATTCGCAAACAGTATTCGTTGCTATCAGGAGTGTCCACGCTTGCGAGATCTGCTTTGGTGTAGGTGACATTAAATACTGAAATTGGCCACTTCGTGTAAGGATGAGACGCAATCTCAGCGTTTGAAAAAGGTGACGTCGTACCACCAGTGAATAGTGCGCCCATTGTTTCCGAGCACCATTGAGCGTCGTTGACCTCACAAAAATAAGGTACGCTGGGAACTTTCACCTCAAACTCTGTTGTACTAAGTGCAACCTTGACATCCGACCGAGTAAGTGAACTAGTCTTCAAAATTATAAATCCAGCCGCGAGCAGTGTCACAGGCAAAAGAGCACTGAAAATTATAACTCGACGATCACGCTTTGCGATGCGAAAACGCTTGAGTAAGAGCGCCGATAAATGCACGAAAAACATTGTCAAGCCGTTTAAATTTGCAATGGATGGACCGCTCTGTGGTAAGAGAACACCACTGGCATCAGCAGTTTTGTTTAGAGTATGCTGATTGTCTTCGTCATAAGCTTCGGCAACTTTGATGAACACTTCCTCTAATGTAGTGACTGATATACCGTAAGAAAGCACGCCTAATTCTCGCATTTTGTCGTCTAAGTCCTCATAGAGTTGTGGAAAGGAAGCAGAATTGTCCAGCGGTAGCTGAAATGCAATCTCAGCACCAACATTACTAAGCAGTTTAGCTGCAGGCACGTAGGACGTTATGAGCGACTGCAATTGCTTTTCCTTGAAAGGCACAGTGGTATCATTATTTTTGACCAGCGTAAGATTGTATCCGACACCAAAGCGTTTTTTTAAAAATAGTGATGATCCACAGCACCGAAGTTGTCCTTCAGCCATAATCGCAATTCGATCTCCTAAAATATCAGCTTCATCCATAAAGTGAGTTGTAAGTACCATCACGCGATTGACACGGTTATTAAGCAAAATTTCCCATGTGCTTCGTCGGCTGTAAGGGTCCATACCGCTCGTAGGTTCGTCCAAAAGTACCAGTGAGCTGTCACCTAACAAGCAAATGGCAACTGATAACTTTCGCTTCATGCCTCCTGACAATGAGCCGGAAAAAACATTTCGTTTCTCGGTAAGACCCACTTCGAGAATCTTTTTATTTACCTCGTCTTGAAGAGCTTTGCCATTATAGCCCTTTATTCGCCCATAAAATTGCAAATGTTCCTCAACAGTGAGCTCGCTATAAAGAACGTCATGTTGAAAACAAAGTCCTAATGATTGCCGAAGTTTCCCCATGTCCTGTACAAGTGACAATCCACAAAACGTGGCATCTCCGGATGTAGGTGCGATCATACCAGTAAGCATTGAAATGAGAGTCGTTTTGCCAGCACCATTATGACCAAGCAAGCATGTGATCTGATCCTTATACATGGCTAGACTTACACCTCGAACTGCGTGTTTGATCCCCCCGGGTACAACAAACTCTTTTTTTATGTCTCGAATTACTAGTGCTTCACCTGACCGCTCCTGATTGCGTAAATCCTCACCAGCATCCTCTACATTAGGATTCTGGATGTCTAGAACAGCATGACTGCCATTGGCAGAATTTGTCGAGTCGTCATCAACCTTACTCATGCTAGCGCTTGAGCGAGCAATGTGCATCCAATAGCTAGGGCGCAGCGGGAAATACCATTTTTCCACAGTGCCATACTCGCGAGGTATCACTCTTTCGAGATATAGCCCGGCAAGAGTGTAGAAAAAAACGTCAAACAAAAGCATTCCGATAGCAGAACCAAACCTAAAATTGTTGACTATTGTGCTGGATGACGAAAAGCTCATACCGACACCTGTAGACTCCGCTGTGGCCAACGTCTGCACTCCGAACGCCAAAGCTACAGGTGGAAGCAAGCATACACCGGTCTTGGAATCAATTGTCGATGTGGACGAGAACCCACTCGATACAAAGTACATAAAGAAGAAAAGCACCATACTCGCGAAGGAACCCGTACGCGAACGGGAGAAAAGCGTACTCATAAAAAAGCCGAAGGAAAGAACGCTTAGCGAGAAGAGCAAAAAGAAAATGAAAATAAGAAAAGGATCACTGTTGGGAAAAAGTCCCGCGCTACTGGCTATAGCTTGCAAAATAGCACTCAATGTAAAGATGATCAAGTATGTAATGTACCACGACAAAATGATTGCGCTTTCAGACATACCAAGTATTTTGAGATACTCACGTGAACGAGTTTCCTTTTCCTGAATAAGAACCACAAGCACACGCGAGATCGCATAAAGATATGCCAGCACGAAGACCAACGGAAATACCGAGCTTACTTGATCGTAAAAGGGTGCCGAGAGGAAGCTCTCAATAGGGAATGGGGCTACAGTCGTCGCAAAATATGGCTGTGGTATCTGGCGTAAAGGAACGAGGAGTTGTTCGATGGCAGTAGTTGAAAGCTTAGATTGCCAGCTTGTGCCCGAGTTGCCAAATGCAGAAAGCAAACCAGTGTTTAATAGAATATCTCCTGTAATTGCATGAAAAAAGCGAGCATCGTTCAATTGGCTTTTTACAGCTGTCGATAGTTTCTGCGTACAAATACCAGTAGTGATCTTTGTAACTGAGTTCCATTCTGGCATACAATTAACGAAACGTGTAACGAGAGTCTGCAAGGTCATGAACCCTTGTGATGCATAGGCAAAATAATGCGTCTGTTCGATGGTGCGCTGAAACGGAGCTTCAAACGCTGGATCCCCAAGAGTACGAGGAACAGCTCCGGGAATACCGTGACTTCCCAGTGTTGAGTTCATGCGTATAGAGTACTCAATTGACTGAAATGTGCCGATGTTTTCATCTACTGGATACTCATCGAAAACTAGCGCAGCATAGATCATTGGTGTCTTATATGATTTTCCGTAGTCAACTCTAGCGATGTAAGACTCCAAATCCAATTCGGACTCAAAAAAAACGACACTATTATCAAAACTTGGTAATGTCACACCTAAACTGGCATCTATGACAACGCGAGGGTACCACTTTTTGACGGCTTCAAAAAAATACTTTCGTGTAAAGTCGTTATCGGGAGCAATTGCTATCTTGTAAGGCGTCACATGTTGTCGACAAGGTTCAAGTACAGAAAAAGCTGAAGAAGAGTCTGTGCTAACAAAGCCTCCATAACCTACACTGAAGGTACACATTCTTTGATTTTCAGTTGAAATTTCCGACGTATTGTGAAGTTCAACTGCAGCCCGTAGACCAAGATACGCCATTAGACCATTCAGCGTCGGCTCTTGGACAAGGTAACCATTTTGGAAAAGGGAGAAAGATCTTTCTGAAGCTGTGCTGCTCCAACCTGCAGGAACTTGTACGTCGTCTGACAGTGTTTTAAGAGCCGTAATGAGCAAAATGAAGAGAACCGGCAGAAATATTTCGAGCAATGTGGCCACCCAATGGCGCTTTTTTAGCAACCAGCTCTTAAAAAGAAGCGTTTGCTGTGATGCCAAAACATTGTGAGCGCTTCTTACGCGAGGTCGTTGCACGCTCTTTGACATGATAACTTTCTCTGTTCAGGTTTTGCTCTAACTTGTCCAGGAGGGCGGTCCCGCGATCAAACCTGGTAGAGTTATCCAAATTTTGGCATCGGTTACTAACATCGAGATGAGCGATTAAATTATTTTGAGCTCTGAATGAACAAACCTTTTTATAGATTTTGGTGAGTCTCACGCAGCAGCAATCAATTTTTCTGGAGTCAGGTGACTGCAATTTCAGTTTCAAATAATGGAAAATTGGTCTATGCTTGGTGGCCGTTTATGAGAACAACTGGCGTCGCGTCGACCAGAGCGATTATCTAGTTATCGACCACCTTCTCTCTGAAAATATCGTATGGTTTGCTTAACAAGTCAGTTTTCGAGGATGCATGACATCGCTTTTTATAATCACCTCGTTGCAAGCTTTAACCTTTGTTAACGATCGAGATGTGCTACTTATTCGTCATGAATCTGATCTTCGATTTTCTCGCGGTGAATAAAGCCCAGTAGATTCTGATGCTATCATCAACTTCATGTGGAGTGACTAAAGTGTCATTATAGATCCGATAAGCTGGGTTTGTAAACCACTGTGATAATTATAGTGCTGGGTATTACAGTCAAGTTAATGTAACAAACTTGCAACTAGTATTGTTTGGATTATATATATGCAGCTTTAAAAGATACTATCAGCATTTTTGATCGTGTGCGAAGTAGGGTTGTATATTGATGCAGGTCATTGATCAAACAAGATCTTGATTGCCATGAAGCGATAATACTAAGAAATCAAAAATATCGTGGATCTACAAGATAAAGCTATGGAGAGGCACATACATTCTAGAGCACAGGATAAATTTCTTCATATATCTATGTTTTCAATCAGCTGCGGGTTTGAGGCCTTGGAACGGTTACGCCTGAAACCTAGTCAGTGGATTAACGACATTTTTTACTGCAGAAATTACTGCGCAGACCCATGATAAAACACATAGTTTTGAAGTATTTACAGGTCGTGCCAAATACTGTTTATGTTTACTCTTTATTACTCCCCAGCCGGCCAGTCATCTTTGGTACGCTATTTCTTGATAACTGATAGACGTGAGACAAATTCTAAATTTCGGGCTTCACCAATTTGATAGTGTAGGCCTCGAGCAAGTCTCCAGGCTGAAAATTGTCCATACCTACTAGTTGCAGACCACACTCTTGACCCTTGTTCACCTCGGCCACCTTCTGCTGAAAGTGACGCATAGACGCCATATCTATGTTGTCAACCACAATTTCACCGTCACGCACCAAACGGTATTTTCCCTGCATTTTAAGCGATCCTGAGATAACCTTGCAACCTGCAATATTGGTGGTGCGAGTACCAGACATTGTGATTGGGATGGATTGAATAACCTCAGCCGAGCCAGTGACCTCATGAACCAAAACGCCCTTGAGTTTTTCTTGCAGCAATTCTTTTATATCATCCAGTAAACTATACACCACGCGATGTTGACGCAAAGTCACTTGCTTGTGCTGGGCTTCCTGGTCGATAGAGGCTGGATGCTTGATATTAAATGAGTAGATGATAGCACCAGTAGCTTCAGCCATCACAATGTCTGACGACGTCACTGGTCCCACGGCAGCCATGATACACTTAATCGCAGCCTCATTGTTGGGTAGGGGTGCAATGAGATCTTCGATAGCAGAAATGATACCCACAGAGTCCGTCTTCAACATGATAGGCACCACATTGGCGATATAACCCTCGTCTCCAGGCTGCAACGCTGCTACACGCTTCGCCTCGTCAGCGGCTTCTTGTCGTCGTAACTCAACTTGCTGCCATTTTTGGCGAACCCCTGCAAAACGACGGCGACGGCGCATTCCGTCATCGCCATCACCCATACTCTCTACTTCTTCCGCTTTTGCCAGTTGATTCCAGTGTATCAAAGCCTGACGCGTCTGCACAACTTCCCTAGCACGTTCTTCAGTCGGCACAGAGAGCAAGGCTACACCGCCTTCAGGTAATCCTTTTAATCCAATAACTCGCACAGGGTGACCGGGTGTTATTTGCTTGACACGCTTTCCGCCCTGATCGATAAGAGCACGAATTTTTCCATACTCTAATCCACAAACAACGAAAGAGCCTTGCTGTAGAGTCCCCCACTTAACGATTGCATCAACTTGAGCACCAACGCCCCGAGCCACATTTGCTTCGAGAACAATTGCTTCACCCGCTGCATTTGTATCACCACGAAGGTCAAGCATTTCTGCGTGAAGAGCAATTGTCTCCTTAAGTTGGTCAAGTCCCTCGCCAGTCTTTCCTGAAACAAAGACAATGGGAGTATCTCCACCCATACTTTCTACTACGATGCCCTGATTAAAAAGTTCGGAGCCAAGGCGAGTGGCAACCTCCTTTCTGTCATGCTCGTGCATATCCATCTTGGTAACTGCTATCACAAGCGGCACATTATTTTTACGAGCCAAGCGTGCTACCTCAATTGTCTGCGGGCGAACACCGTCATCAGCTGCTACCACGAGGACGAGAAGGTCCGTAAGTTCCGAGCCACGTGATCGCATGTTGCTAAATGCCGCATGACCAGGCGTATCAATGAACGTTACTTTCGAATAAGAACCAAATTTTTTGCCCAAGTCCACTGAAAAAGCACCGATGCTTTGCGTGATACCCCCCGTTTCAGTGGCCGCAATCTTTGACTTGCGTAGAGCGTCAAGCAATGTAGTCTTACCATGATCAACGTGACCCATAACAGATACAATGGCTGGTCGTACAGGAAATGCAGAACAGTCTTCCGGTAAAGGTGTTGGGACAAGATCGACAAAGTCTGGGGGAAGCAATACTGGGATCATATTTTGCGAATCTACCACAAGCTCAGCAATATCGCTCATCAGCACCGATTCCTCGTTCAAACCCACTTCGCCCAGATCTTTTAATGCGCGAAAAACCACGCTCGTCTTGACACTCATTCGATCCGCCAGATCTCTGACCGTTAAAGACGTCGGAATTTCAATTTCTTGAGCTGGCAGCTCGTGCCTGGGTTTCCGCTTTACCACTTTCCGTTGTTGTCTCCGAGAATGACGACGTTCACGCTCTTCCACGTCGCCATGCCCTTCCCAGTCAATATCTCCAAACAAATCTGATTCCGAGTCAAAAATGCTATTTTCGAATTGAAAGTTCTTGAGAAGATTACGCGTCTGCTTCTTGCGCTTCGTATTCATCTTTATCGCCATTCGACTGGATGGCGGAGACTCGATGCGATTGCTATCACGATCGATCGGAATACCAAGTGCTGCTAATACTGTCGATGTATCGTTACTACTTGAAAAGAGCTTCGTCTTTTTAGATTGCAGACGCGACTGCTTATGCTGCAACTTAGAAATCGTACTATCTTCTTCCTGTATATCCAGGCCCAACTGCGCCATCGTAAGCTCGGATTTTTCTTCATTTCTGCCACCAGCTTCGACACGGACGATCAAGTCCAGCGACGGTGTCTCGCCCGTCTTTGGCTCTGTCGTCGTCTTGACGCTATTTGTTAAATCCTCAAACGCAAAGCTTAGCAAATTTTGAAACTTATTTGTAAACACAGGTAGCTCCTTGTCCAGCAACCTATCAGATCGGTATCGTTTTGGCCGCTGTTTATTTTTAAATTGGTTGTGCTTCAGACCAGCTTTGGCCACACCCGGCTCCGCTGACTTTGAATCTCTCGACAGCTGACGCATGCTATTAAAATGACTTCGCGCGTGTGAGTTAGGCGCTGATGAAGATGCAAAATGGCGTACTAGCACTAGACATGTCGAAGCATTTGGGTAATGCTTTACAAGCATTGCTGAGCGACTCAGTAGCGTCCACTGACCTACCGTCATTTTATCTGCTTACTGATTGGTGTGGTGTGTACACCGATATACACTCAGGTTGACTTTATCTATTTTCAGACTATAAAATTGTAACCTTCCGAGCTGGTGCATTTGCTACATCTGGGGGCTGGGCTTTATAAATGATGCTTGGTATATCTCCATTACTATCTAGAGGTAGAAATCCAATCTCAAGCCCTGAAACTCGCGTAACTTCGTCGTATTTAACGGCGCCAGCTTGCGATGGGTTTTGTCGGTTCTCCATAAGACCTAGGATGCACCTTAAATTATTGAAAGAGATCAAGATGCTGCCGCTGGAAATACGAAGCTATAAACGCTTTGTTTGTATTCAGCAGGACGACGTGATTAAATGCAAGGGGAGTCACCAAGAGCACTCGGTCGATAGTCCACTTCCAACATCGTTTAGTAGTAACAGTGACGACAGTAGCACTGTCAGTAGTTCCAGCTTCGCATCAAGTGAGCAATCGAATGTAAGTAATGACGAGATGTCATCGTCACCTGGTAGTAACAGTAATGGAGGAAACGGAGGTGATGAAAGGAAAAAGAATGATGACGAAAATTACGACAACGGTGGCATCAGTGACTCAAGCAATGAAAACTCTGCTGATGAAAGCGAGCAGGAAGAAGATGACGGAGCCCTTCTACATACAGATGATGATAAAGGCATTGCGCGTAATGGTGTCGACTTTACTGATGAGGATCTGAGCAGTGATAGCGACGAAAACTCGGATTTGGAAAATTCGTACCCTCGATTGCCGTTAGCGCCTGTAGATACGCTGATTGCTGTTCGACAGCGAGCTGCATACAAAGAGCTGCAGTTAAATGTGAAACTTAAAGAGAAAGTTATTGAAGATGCAAAACAACGACAGCAGGAGCGACAACAGGCGCAGCGGTCAAAAATGAGGAATAGGACGTCACGATCAAAGCGAAAACACAAGACTGCTGGCGAAATGATATTTGAAAAATGTAATGGCTCTGCTAAGGTAGAGGAAGGGGTTGAGGATGATTGGATGGTGGATTGCTCTTGTGGAATCAGGGAAAAAAATTATGACGATGGAACGTCAATGATTCAGTGCGATAGCTGCTCCCACTGGGTGCATGCAAAATGTGCAAACAAGCAGCCTGAAATTGTGGCTCAAGAACATTTCTTATGCTTTCGGTGCGGTTGGATGTTTGACTGCGTTTGTCATGTGCGTCGTCAGCCCAATCACGATGATGGTCATCGTATGGTCGAATGCGAAAGCTGCAACACGTGGCAACATACCACATGCGTTGGTATTCCGATGACAGAGGAGCCTGCGGATGATTATCGATGCCCAAGATGCATAAAGAAAGGTCGCCGACTTGGTGCTGTATCAAGAACCCGAAATTATAATTCTCGACAACGACAGCGGGGTCATCTTCGGGGTCGTAGGAATGTCACTTCAATGGATGCTGACTCAGCAGCTCGCTTTATTAAAATTTCAACCCCGCCTCGTGCTCACAATAGCTGGCGCACCGATTCGAAAAATATGGTGGTGGAGGAGAAGAAATATTTAGATATATGCTCGCCATCTCCTTCTTTATTTCCAGCAGGATCTCCTCCGACGACTTCTCTTCCATCGTCCTTAACACCACCACCTCCGCCATCCGGTAGATTAAGTCGGAAGGTCGCTGAGTCTTTGGTTGAAGATAGAAAGCCCGTTTATCACGAACAAAGTAAAGTCAAACAAGAGCGTCATTCTAGCCAACCACAGCGCAAGCTGGGTCGATCGCTACCAAACAGAAGTTTGAAAAGGCCCCGATTGCACACGGTGACGTATGATCAGGGCCATGTCGAGCAACCCCAAAATACTGTAATTTTATCGCCTAGAGGCAAAGGGCCAATGCTTCAAGGGTATTTATCTGTTTTGACTGAGGAAGATACACTATCGTCTCAGTCATTGGACGTGCGACCTTCAATTACAATAACTAAGTCAACCAGTGCAAGTGGTGATAAATTAAATGGTCGTAAGCGTAAGAGTAATTCTGCACGGAATCGTTTAGCGAAGAAGCTTAGAGGAAAGAAATAGTTACTGCGGTAAATGATGTTCTGGATTACCATGAACGTTATACATGATTATTACAGTGTATGCATGACCAGTTAGTACGAATACGGCCACGTTAAGCATTACAATTATTACAAGGTACACGATGCGCAAAGGGACATTCCCATTTGAACTTAGTTATGCTACGTCCACGGGTAAAATGACGGAAAGAGAACACTACCCAGTATAGTAAAGAGCAAAAAGTAGCCCACAACAAGTCGACCGTATCGTGTCAAAGCTGGTGACACATTCTTTTTGAGTCCGGAGTCATCACAGATAAGTGTGGCAGGGTGCCAGAACAATGATGGACACGCGGTCAATAATCTTGTCGCCACTTGGATATGAACGAAAAGCAGCGCATTTACTACTAGAAAAAGCCAATGTATGTAATACGGGGTAAGAGCAGCGCCTCGACGCGAATCCCGTCCTGATGGCTGCAATACTACAAGTCTTGGCACGGCAATTCCTCGAAAGAACTCAAAAATTGCATGCAAGCTTATCGTTATAATTGGTGCAGCAAGCATAAAGTTTGGCAGCTGCTTCATTTGATAGTAGCGAAAAAGACCCACGTTCCAGTATTCACTCTGAATGAATGTGTACATTGCAGTCCAGTTCACTTTAGCATTCGTACACCAGCTACGGTCTTCCGTCGCATGATCCATAGATATTTCCCATCCAAAGCGTTGTCGAAGTGAAGGGCAGTATGGCATCATCGAAGAAATAAAGTAGACGATCTGAGGACCAATTGCAAGTACACCGAGAGCTGCAGTGCGTACCCAGTATCCTAAGAACCGAGAAAGCTCTCGTGGTGACGGTGAAACAGTCAGACGATGCCATGCTATATGCACTGTACAAAACAATATCATACAAATTGGTGTCGATCAATGAGGAAGCAGCCGATTGTAGCTAAACGCACGTGACAGAAGGACTCCATTAGATCGCGTGACTGATGCTGCACCGAATAGCAGCGCAGAGCGCACTAAGTCCAGGAATGATCGACTAGCCTTCGGCGCCTGCGCGTGTCGTGCCAGGTAAAACATGCCGCTGAAGCTTAACAAACACATCAAACTCTCCGAATAGATAGAAGACATGAAGATACTGGACGGTGCCACGCAGAAGAGGTAGGATGCTCTTAACGCGGTATCTTTGTCCCCTAACAAAATGCAGCACAAGCGGTACAGGAATAGTGCTGCCAGCACGAAGCTCGCATTACTGATTATCCATCCACTGACAAGCACGGCAGCCGTATTTTTTAAGGGAAGAAAAGCAGCGAACAATCGTATCAGCAGCGGGTAGAGCGGGAAAAATGCATGAAAGTGCTCAAAGTCGTAGCCGTGCAGCGCGATATGCGAGAAATAGACGCCATCCCAATTACTTGCCACTGCGAGGGATAAGTTACCCGCATGTAAGTGCGAAGAAGTATCAAAAGGCGTGACGATAGCGGAAGTAGCCAGTGCTAGCAAAGTTACACACACTCGTGTGGCCGCCGCAAAGGCAATCACACGGCGCTTCATTTATATCCAAACAAATTTAGTTAAAACTTTTGTGTTGAAATACTTTGCGTAGTATGTGTACTTTTTGGAGACGATTGGCCAAATATTTCAGACACCGTATTACCAAAAATAATTTACTAAGGAAGGGTAACCTCCAGACCAAGGTCGGCGCATTGCCACATATTGATAAAGTAAAATTTTTCGTGATGTCGCGAGTGCAGCTTCCAGCTGCGTACGCAAGCAGCATTTCACTACAAACATGCAGGCTTTATTTACTCTGCGTGTCCAGACTACGTCCTTATCATCTCTTCAAGCTTGACATTATTTAATTACAGCTATCCAGTTCAGTGACGACCATGTAACGGGGTAACACGAACCCTAATAACAGGGGGTGTGCGTATCACACGAGATGGGCATAATGTGACCACAAACTTAAACAAGAATACGAGACCGGGCTAGGTAGCCAGTACTTATGGATGTGTTTAGATTTTACTATACATATTTAGTATATTTAGGAAAATCTAAACTTTCAACATTCGGATAAAAATATCAGTTTCGATTTTGAACAGAAGTGTTCGTTTGCCTTGGTAAGGCTTTTAGGCAATTTTAGAGGCAGCGGATTGCGATCCGCTGCACTAGCTCTTGGTTCTTGTATAGAACGAAAGGTCGATGACCAAAAGACGCTTCCCCAAGCGCAGAGCTACGGCAACCCCGCTGCACTTGGTAGCACTTGTAGTCAATCTACACCTGAGTCGTTTCGACTGATCCTCTGTGAGGATAGAGGAGTATTCCTCTTTGCCCCAGTGCATGCAGGACGGGCTTAGTAAGCTGATGTTCTTGCTTGGCCCTGAGGCCGTGCAACACCTTGTGGCACAAGGCCTCGAGGCAATCGGTGTGCGTCTAGAGGCGTTTTCGAGCTGCTGGAGCACTTGCAGCAAAGGATGTCTGCATCGTTTGCGTCTACAACGCCACCGTCAGTGACGGATTACTTCCCCCGATCTAAGCCGCTCTTGGTGAGCGTTAAGGTCTTTGAGGGGAAGGATGGAGAGAATCTCCTACTTA